CGACAATGCCAGGTGGTGCACCAATACAGACGGGTTCCTAGAAAACCCACCTAGCAAGGGAAGCATGTACTATAAGGGACCCACCCTCCAGAAGATAATTCCAGTTTTTTGGTGTCCTCTCTCATATATTCCTTTAAATTAATGTCTTAATCTACATGGCCAATGATTCAATCAATTGTGCTTATACAATGGGAACTTAATAAAAACTCTGGATGCTAAAGCTTGGGTGAGCTTTTCTGGTAGACAATGAACTGCATATTGTCACACATAATATGGTGGGAAGGTAGTGAGTGAGTGGATCCTGACTCCAGGGGGAGAGGACAGGGAAGCTTCATGTCTGGGACCCTCTAAGATCTCACCTTATGCATCTTGTCTTTTGGCTGTTTCTGACTTTTTCTGCTATAATAAAACTAATCATAATCATAGAGCTTTCATGAGTTCCGTGAGTTGTTCCAGCACATTATTGAACCTGAGGGGTCTGTGGGGACACTCAGATTTATAGACAGTTGTTCAGAAGTGTGTGTGATCTGACGACCCCTGAACTTGCTGGTATCTGAAGTCAGTGTAGTCTGGTGCAGGACGGTGTCCTGAACCTGTGAAAGTTGGCTCAACTCCAGTGGTTGGTCTCACAAGTCAATGCAACACATTTAACCATTTGATTATGATATGCCTCGGTATGGTTTGTTTGTGTTCATTTTGCTTGGGGTTTATCAATGTTCTTGGATCTCTAAGATGGATGTTGGATATTGTGAAAGTCACATTGTTACTTGTCTAGATTTAATTGTTTTCCTTTCAAGAGGGTCAGGCTTTGTTAAATTACTTGGGAATCATCTTGATCCCTTTGGGGCATTGATTTGACATTTTGTTAGAAAGGATGCCTTCACTCTAAAAATTCCTGCCACTAAAGCAGGACCTTCTGGGATCACTACTTCTGAGATGAATTTTCTCTCTCTCTCCCCCCGCGCACACATACACTCACCACACCACAACCTCCCCTTGCATCAAGCTCACCCTGGATTGTTATTCACCTGCTCTAATCACCCCAGAGACAGATACCAGAAAACTAGAGATTGTTTTTTATTTTATTTTATTTTAGTCATTGTTCAAGTAGTTTTCTCCCTTTTACTCCCATTCCAGCCCACCCACCCAACCCTCAAGATTGTTCTTAAAACCAAGAGCACACTGAAATTATTCAAACTAGGCAATTAAACCAGACAATCTTAAGCCTGATTACCCTGCCTTGTCCATTCCTTCCTGCATAAACCACAATAAAAGCTCTTGTCCATATTTTCCTCTCATTCTCTCTGCCATTTGCCTTACCCTGGTTCTTCCCCATGTGGTTGGTGTGGCTTGCTATATGCTTCTTGTTTCTAGGGATCTGTGAGTATAAGCTTCGTTCATGACAGTCATTTCTGTGTCTGTGTATCTCACCACAGCTGATTAAAACAACTCTCAGGTACCACGAAAACACACACAAAGAGTAAATACTATATGATTATATTTATGTAAAGTTCAAACTTGAAATATTGGAGGGATCACTTTGTAAATTATATGATTGTCTAACCACTGTGCTATATACCTGCCAGTAATATAAAATAACATTGAATGTCAACTGTAATTGAAAAATAAAATTTTTAAAAAGTGAGCCTGAAAAATAATGGTGTTAGTAGTCAGAGTAGTGGTTATTCTGGGAGGAATATAAGGAGGTGCATGAGGGGAGCTTTTAGGATGCTAATAATTTGTTTCTTGACCTACGTGCTGGTTATAACGAGGTGTTCAGTTTGTGCAAATCAATCAAGCAGTATATTATACTTCGGATACTTTCCCTATGTATGTAATACTGAACAGTTGGTTGCATTGTTGGTTCTGATTCTCTATTTGTCCCTGTATCCCTGTTTTTTTTTTTATTTTTTTTTGCCATTTAGCTTTGCAATACTCTTCCCTCTCTGACTCTGGAATCTAACATGTGATTTGATTTGAGTGTTGTAGTTCTTAGCCTGAGCCTTGAGAGGTTTTGTGGGTTTCTTATACTCTTGTGCTTCTCCTATTGAGATTATGTAGATATGTTGGGACTAGCACACTTATCCTAGGATGAGAGTCCTGTGAACTAGAGATGCCCCAGCTAAGGCTTCCCAGCCAAGCCCAGCCTGGAGCAGGGCTCTCAGTTGCTCCACAGATGAATGAAGGAGCACAGTCAAGATCAGCCAAACCCAGCCTAGGTCAGCGGACCTCCACCTGACTTACAGATCATAAACAGAAAATAATTGACTTTGTTAAGCCACTGACTTCACTGTAAAAGCTAACTGGTACAGTGAAAAAAACTAGTGAGGACCAAAATAGGGCAAAGTTAGGAAAAAGAAAGAAGGGAATTGAGATGGGAGAAATGTCACTTAAAAAAGTTCTTCCACTGAGGTGGGTTTGAAAAGTCACTGCTTATTCTCCTGATACAGTGTGGCATCAAGTAATCTATAGGTTTCTGTGTCTACGTGCCAGCCTCCCAGGGAGGCTATAGGTACTGAGGACGGAGAAGGTGTAACAATTAGGAATGGCAGGAGGAGGATCTGGGTATGGATGGGGCATAGAGGGAATGATAAACTGGTTCAGCCTTGGGTAGGGCTGACTTTGAGATCTCCGAAGGACAGGCGAGTGGAGTTGCTCAGCAGGGGGGGAATGCAGATCAGAAGCTCAGGTCTTTGCTGGAGGTGGAGATGTGGGTGTCCTCCACTGGCAGGTGGTGACTGAGGAAGCGCAGACTGGATCTGCGCTGTAAAGCCTGTGCAAAAACAGCTCCAAGAAGCTGTGCCAGCCAACACCCCATTGCTCCCTGCGAAGCGCTCCAGTCTGCCTGGGTGATCCTTACACGGTGATCAGTCGGAAACTGAAGTACGATTACTGCTTAATCTATTACCTAACAGGGAGAAGATAAGTGCCTCTTGGTCAACAAGCAGAGGGTGCCCTGTAGCAGTATACTATCTGTCCCAGTGTAACTGGAAAAGACACCCAGTGTAACTGGAAAAGACACCCAGTGTAACTGGAAAAAAAACCAAAACGGGCTGCCTGTCACTACCAAATCCAATAAGCAATGACAACGACTGAACCTTTTATGGGCGCTTTATTCAGATGGCCGGCGATCCGAGAAGATAGCGGGTTCATACCCTAACAAACCATCTTCCTTTCTCTTTCCTGGCCAGATCTTTTATAAGCAGGTGGGGGAGGACAAACACCCTGCGGTGAGGGCTTTGAAATTCAGGGAGGATGAGGTGAGGGAAGCTGCAGCATTCCTGTTCTCTGCAGTGAGCTGTTCCCAAGAGGGGTGGAGGGTGGTCACACAAAAGGCCCGGATGCCTCCAACAGGTCCCCAGGTGGTAATCTCTATCCAGTGCCCCAGGAGGTCAGCTGTTTTTCCCAGGAGCCAGGATGGGCCTTATCTGTAGTTTCTGAAACAAAAGCTTAACATACACGTTACCTGCTAGATTTATAACTTTTTACCTTAAGCTAAAATTCTCCAAGTCTTGAGTCCCCTAGCACCAGGAATCCGAAAGCACCCCCGCCATATCGGGCAGATGAGACAGTGTGCCTTTCGGTGGAACTGCCACCTGAGGCTTCTGAGAGGCAGTGAGTTGGAGCTAAGGGGGTTAGAATGACAAAGCCCCCAGGAAAGAGGGGCAGGGGGAGCCAGGAGAGAGGGGGTGGGCACTGAGGTGGAGCCCGAGGTAGGGACCAGAGGAGAAAATTAGTAGGGATACAGTTACCAAGGAGGGCGGGACCAAAGGGTGTACAGCAGCAGGTGGGGAGAGGCGGCCAACCGGGAAGGAGGAAAGCTAGGTCAAAGAAGGGAAGAGAGGTAAAGGGTCTCAAAAGAAAGGAGGAGGGCAGCCAAGAAAGTCTGGATGCCGAACCAGAGAAGAGGAAATAGGTAATGAGCGAAGGTGGAGGGTGAGCGAAGGGCAGCAAGTGGGAGAAACAACCGCGTCTGGGTGTGTTTAGAGCGCAGTAGCATCTCCAGTGGCACCTCCGTATGGAACCCCTCGCGTCCGCTGGCGGAGCTGAGAGAGGGAGCCTGGCAGGAGAAGCCCTAGACGTCAGCCTAGACCCGGCCACCCTCGCGGGCCCGGGAAGGGGAGGCTAGGGAGGACCGACAGGGTCACTCCTCTCCGGCCTCAGTCCGTGCAGCCACACCCGCGCTCAGTGGATTCGACTCCGACGGAGGCAGGAGGCCTCGGGACGCCCCTGGAGGTCCAGAGACAAGCTGCCGAGGAATTAGGGCTGGGAGAGGCTGGGCCTGAGTGCGGGTGTGGTGGTGCAGAGGGGACACTGATGCTGAGAGTGGCGAAGGAGTGCGCGGTCCCAACACAGAAGGGCTGGCAGGCGCGGGAAGGACCTGGACGCAGGTCCCAGGGTCGGGGGAAGGAGGCAGGGATGGATGGGAGCGGGCGGGGGCTGAAGGAGGTAGGGAATCAGAGGGGTCGGGAGATCCCTCCCGGCTTGGGGTGGCTCGAGGGTAGGGGCTTCGGGGCTACGGCACTGGGGTTGTGTGCGCGGATGGGAGAACCTCCCCTGCCGAATCGTTCCTGCTGTTTCTCCGTTTCCTAGTCCCAGAAGTTGCAGCTTCAGAGGCTGTCGGGCGAGGAACGAGGTTTCCAAGGGCAGGCAGTCTAAGCGGGGAGACCAGTGGCAGGCGGTGAGGCAAGGGGCCACTTGCGTGCAAGCGCGGGTATGGGCTAGTCCAAGGGTCAGGACCCCAAGACACGTTCTCTGGCCCGCAAAAGCCTTCGTCCCTCCTCCCACTCTACCTGCCTCCCAGAGCGCCCGCCCCCCAAACGGGGCAGGGACGCCGCGCAGAGACCTGGCTGGCCGCGCCCAAGTGGGAGGTAGACTAGAAGGCGGGAGCCAAAGCTTAAAGGGGCGGATACACAGAGGTGTCTGGCGCTCCATAAAGAAGCGGCGGGGCCGCACTCTCCTCTACGCTGGCGGCGGCCACTGGCGGAGAACCCAACGCGATGCCCGTTCACTGTCTGCAGAGCCCGGTGCTGGCGGGCTGCGCCGCTTTAGCCACGATGGGGGCCCTGATACTGTACTTAAGGGAGCCCTCCGGCTACGGGAAGTACACGGGGAGTGTGACCGCAGCTACCCACCTGTCCGCCCGCGCCGCCTGGTTCCTGCAGGAGCTGCCCTCCTTCGCGGTCCCGGCGTGGATGCTCCTCGGTCAGACCCGCGCTCTCCTTGGCCCGCCCGGGACTGTGCTTCTGGGCCTCTTTTGCGCGCATTACTTCCACAGGTAGCGTTCTCGCGTTCTCCCCGTGCCACCGTGCGGGGCGCAGTGGCGTGCGGTGCACGGCCGGGCTTGCGGGGTCCGGGAGCGCAGCCTGCGGCACGCACCGAGCACTGCCGAGGGCCTGCGGGGGCAACTGCCAGGAGCGCAGAGCCGGGCTCACCGGGAGCACCTGTATGGGCTGGGGCTGCCGGCCCGCCGGGGCGAGTGGAGAGGCTGTCATGGGGCAGACGCCGCCTTCCCTGCCCCTGGCCCCGCGCCTCGCCTCCGGGTTCCAGTCCAAGTCCTCTGGCTCCTTTGGGGAAGGAGGTTGAGAGGGCGGGAGGGAAGCCTGAAAACTCAGGCTGGGCAGAGCTTTTGACAGGGACTTTCTCCACATCCTCGAGGTTCAGCGTCGCCCGTGGTGTCTAACCCCTTACTTTTCCCTTCCCCTTCCGCTTCCCCTTCCCTTTCCCTTCCCTTTCCCTCCCCTCTTTCCCTCCTGTCCTCTCTCCCTCTTTCGTTTGCAGGGCAGGGGTGGGTTGGTTTAGGGATTCTGCGGAGACTCTAAGCGCTGACGTCTCCAGAAGGAAGCAGCTCAGAGGGATGGAGGAACTTATCTTCGGGAGTCTGAGGAGGGAACTGGGTAGAGCCAGACCTGGACTTCAGTTGTGGGAGAGAAATGACGGGAATCTACTGACCCGAGCAGTGAGAGCCCCGCTTCCTAGGCTCCGCCCAGAAGGGACCACTCTCACCACCTACTGGTCTACCTTTCCAGTTCCCCAGCGACATAGATACGAATGGGTCGAAGTTAACTTAGAGCTGCAATGTTCACTAAGTTAAACATTCCAGATGCAGAAAAACTTTGCCTTATGGTCTGAGAAAGTCAGAAAGGCAACCGATCCTTTTAGGATTCAAATGACTGCTAACTTCCAAAAAGGACAGAGCAAGGAGGGAACACTCTTTCAAGTTGCCTACTGTGCGCAATCATTTAGCATCTATTGTCTCATCTAACCCTATTGTAACCTCGTGAGATATACATTTATCTATTTTAATTATATTTTATTGATTATGCTATTACAGTTGTCCCATCTTTTTCTCCCCTTTATCCCCCTCCACCTCCCCTCCCACCTGTGTTCATGTCCATGGGTTATACATATAAGTTCTTTGGCCTCTTCATTTCCTATACTGTTCTTAACCTCCCCCTGTCTATTTTGTTCCTAGCAATTATACTTCTTATTCCCTGTACCTTTCCCCCCTTTTCTCCCCTTCCCCCTCCCAGCTGCTAACCCTCCATGTGATCTCCATTTCTGCAACCCTTTGCTTAGTTCGTTTTTTTTTTTTTTTTTAGGGTACATTGTTGATAGTTGTGAGTTTGTTGTCATTTTACTGTTCATATTTTTTATCTTCTTTTTCTTAGATAAGTCCCTTTAACATTTCATACAATAAGGGCTTGGTGATGATGAACTCCTTTAACTTGACCTTATCTGGGAAGCACTTTATCTGCCCTTCCATACCAAATGATAGCTTTGCTGGCTAGAGTGATCTTGGATGTAGGTCCTTGCCTTTCATGACTTGGAATGCTTCCTTCCAGCCCCTTATTGCCAGCAAGGTTTCTTTAGAGAAATCAGCTGATAGTCTTATGAGAACTGCTTTGCAGGTAACTATCTCCTTTTCTCTTGCTGCTTTTAAGATTCTCCCCTTATCTTTAATCTTGGCTAATGTAATTATGATGTGTCTTGGTGTGTACTTCCTTGAGCCAAACTTCTTTGGGACTTTCTGAGCTTCTTGGACTTCCTGGACATCTATTTCCTTTGCCAGATTGGGGATGTTCTCCCTCATTATTTCTTCAAATACGTTTTCAATTTCTTGTTCTTCCTCTTCTGGCACCTCTGTGATTCAGATGTTGAAACATTTAAAGTTGTCCTGGAGATTCCTAAGCTTCTCCTTGTGTTTTTGAATTCTTATTTCTTCATTCTGTTTCAGTTGAATGTTTATTTCTTCCTTCTGTTCCAAATCATTGATTTGAGTCCTGGTTTCCTTCCCTTCACTGTTTGTTCCCTGTACATTTTTGTTTATTTCACTTTGCATAGCCTTCACTTCTTCCTCTATTTTGTGTTCATACTCAATTATTTCTGTGAGTATGCTGATTACCAGTGTTTTGAACTCTGCATCTGATAGGCTGTCTATCTCCTCATTGCTTAGTTCTTTTTCTGGAGTTTTGGTCTGTTCTTTCATTTGGGCCATATTTCTTTGCCTTGCCACACCTGTTATGTAGTAAGGGGCAGAGCCTTAAGTATTCGCCAGGGTGGGGCAACCCGTGTTGCTGTGTTGTGGCACTGTGTGTTGGGGAGGTGTCAGAGAGGAAATAATGCCACTTGCTTAGCTCTTGCCCTGCTTTCAGTCACTTCCACTGCTACCCACAAGGGAATTGGGCCCTCCTGGTGCTGATTCCTGGGTGGGTGGATTTGTGTATATTCTAGGGCCCTTGGGCTGCTCCAGCAGACTCTCCTATGAGACTGGGAATTTCTCCTGCCACTTAAACCCTTACAGGTTTTTATAGTCAGAGGTTTTGAGGCTTTATTTCCCCATGCTGGAACCCTGGGTTGTACAGTGTCTTGTTCTCTAGTTGTTCCCCCCAGTTTCACTGCACGCAAATGTGGGACTGCCTGGTCTACCAGCAGCCACCTTGCTCACCCAGTCCACCAGCCACCACTTTGCCATGTGTTCTCTCCACCCCAGCTGCCTGTTTCTACCCTCCTACTAGTCTGGATGAATGTTCCTTCTTTAACTCCTTGGTTGTTGGACTTCCATACAGTTTGTTTTTTGGTAATTCTGGTTGTCTTTTGTTTTTAAATTGGTTGTTGTCCTTCTTTTGGTTGTGTGAGGAAGCAAAACATATCTATCTATGTCTCCATCTTGGCTGGAAGTCCCAATTTGTACTTCTTAATCCCTTCACTTTTTTGCCCACCCTACCAATCCCCCACCCATCTGACAGCCATCAAATTGTTTTTTGTATCTATGATTCTGTTTCTGTTATACTTTTTTGCTTATTTTGTTTTTTAGATTCAGTTGTTGATAAATATGTATTTATTGCCATTTATCATGCATATTGTTTATCTTCCTCTTCTTCTTCTTCTTCTTCTTCTTCTAGAAGACCCTTTAACATTTCATATAATACTGGTTTGGTGATGATGAACTCTAGCGTTTTTCTTGTCTGGGAAGCTCTTTATTTGTCTTTTGATTCTAAATGATAGCTTTGCTCAGTAGAGTAATCTTGATTGTAGGTCCTTGCTTTTCATCACTATAAATATTTCTTGCCAAGCCCTTCTAGCCCACCAAGTTTCTTTTGAGAAATCAGCTCATACTCTTACAGAGGCTCCCTGGTAGGTAACTAACTGTTTTTCTCTTGCTGCTTTTAAGAATTCTCTCTTTGTATTTAAACTTTGGCATTTTCATTATGATGTGTCTTGGAGTGGGCCTCTTTGCATCCATCTTGTTGGGAATCTCTGTGCTTCCTGGACTTGTATATCTATTTCCTTCACCAAATCAGGAAAGTTTTCTTTCATTATTTTTTCAAATAGGTTTCCAATTTCTTGTCCTTTCTCTTTTCCTTTCAGCACCCCTATGATGTGAATGTTGGCACACTTGAAGTTGTCCCAGAGGCTATGCACACTATCTTCATTGTTTTTGATTGTTTTTTCTTATTTGCTGTTCTGATTGGTTGTTTTTTGCTTTTTCATATTCCAGATTGCTGATTTGATTCTCAGCTTCATCCTCCCTACTGTTGGTTCCCTGTAAATTGTTCTTCTTTTCACTTAGTGTACCCTTCATTTCTCACTGGATATTTTTTATGCTGTTCAGGTCCTCATTAAGTTCCTTGAGCATCCTTATAACCAGTGTTTTGAACTCTGCATCTGATATATTGCTTGTCTCCATTTTGTTTAGTTTTTTTTTCTTCTGGATTTATGATCTACTCTTTCATTTGGTCCATGTTTCTTTGTCTTCTTATTTTAGCAGCCTCCCTGTGTGTGTTTCTATGTACTAGGTGGAGCTGCTATGACCCCCTGTCTTGGTAGAGTGGTCTAATGTAGTAGGTGTACTGTAGGGTCTAGTGGCAAAGCCTCTTCTATCATACAATTAGGTATTCGAAGTGTACCTACTGTGTGGGATGTGTATATTTTCTTCTTGTAGTTGAGCCTTGGTTGCTATTGGCAGTAAATTGGAGTGATTTACCCAGGCTGATCTGCTGCAAGGAGTGGCTATGACCATTGACCACCAACCTCTGACAACCATGAAGGATAAGCTATAAGGGACCCAATCCGCAGAGCAGGGCTTTGGTGCCTGCTAGTCTGCCTTTTGATTGTGTCACTTGCAGAGGTGATTGGGTGGTGGTACTTTGATATGGTCTATAGCTGTCCACTGGGTTTGCCATATCTGGGGCTTCCTGGGAGGTGCAGGCTAAGGTAAGCCGCCACCTGTGTTCTGTCTAAAGCTACCTGGCATAAGCTATAAAGCAATCAGTAGATAGCTGCTACTACTTGTGCTGGGCTTGGAAGTGAGCAACAGAAGCCAAGCTGTGAACCAAGGTCAGCTGCTGCTAGAACTGGGTCTGGGGCCACTTAGCAAGAGGCATGGGCTTGCTGAGGCCCGGTGCTCCTTGTTGAGAGAATTTCAGAAAATCTGAAACATTAGTCAAGATGAGCCATTTGTATGGAAAAGCCCCTGGAAAGAGCTTCAGTGGGCCTGAAAGTTGAATGGGGTGGAACCACAGGGAATCACCAGGGTAAGGCAAAAGTTGTGAGTCTGGTTGATGAAGTCTCAGATATGGCATCCACCTGCCAGCTTAGCCAACATTTCTGTATGGGAGAAAGCTGTCCCCCACTGCTTGTTCTGATGCCAGATACTTCAGCTCCTCCCCCTCTGCCTCTGGTACCTTTCAAGCTGCTGCTCTGGTGCTAGAGCTCAGAGCAAGCGAGTCTGAACAAATCTGTTCATGGGCCCTTTAAGAGGAACTTTCAGGGAGT